GGTTCTAAAAAGGCTAACAAAGGCAAAAGATTTCACAAACGTTAGAATGGCTAAATATCTTTTGAATATTAGGCAGAGTGGAAAAAGCGATGACATGGAGGGAAATATAGTTTATAAGTTTGATTTAGAAACTCCGCTTCGTTTTCCTTTCTCAATTGACGGTGAAAATTACGTATGTTCCGAATATAAGCGTTTAGAAATTAAAACTAGCCAAAATGAGAGTGAATTTTTTCGTGATGGTGAAACAGACCGATGAGGAGCAATAGAAAATTACTGAAACTTGTGTGCTCCGGATAACAATAAAGGATTTTTCATGACCGGCTATAATGACAAACTTATTTTGGACGATACAGACGGAAATATTTACTTAGAACCTTTTCATTTTCCGCACCTTGCCTTGAAAATGAAACCGGCAGAAATTACCTGAAAATCTAATGAAAATATTCGTCTAAAACTGGCTTCCACTTATTCCGTGCGGGACGAAACCAAAAACTTTAACATAAATATTAATGAAATTGATTTAAGAACCAAAAATGTTGCCGAACTTCATTCTCTCATTGCTAATTGTATCAAAAAAGGTCAAGTTTTAACCTTAAAATTTCGTTCTCCCAATAGTGCTTATTTTCGCAAAGTTTATTCTAATAACCAATGAATTAACACTTTGGTTATCCCAGAAAATAGTCTACAAGAGGATTTAACCGGCCCAAACCCAAAATCCCAGCAACCATTCGTCACTTTCCAATAAATGCTTTGTTATTTTCGTTTTAGGAGTTATAATCCTAATTTCTTTTTTTTTGCTTTTCTTAATAAAACGCAAAAAATCTCGTAAAAAATAACTTATGGCAGGACATTCTGCAGCAAAAAATAAAAAATGAAGAAAAGATCGCCAATCTGAACTTCGGAGTCAGGAACATCAGACAGCCAGAAGGGAAATTGAACTTCTGATTAGGCAGAAAAGGGAAATTCCGAAAGAAGCGTTTGTCATTGCCCGAGAACACAGTTTTCCTAAAGAAAAAGTTTATCAGATTTGAGAAAAATTCAAGAATAGCACAGCGGAAAGTCGTTCTACTCGGGCTTTGTTCCAGGCTCCTTTTGGCATTTTAATTTATTTAGAAGGGGGCAAAAATATTCCGGCTGATTTAGTCAAAAAATTACAATTAAAATCTCTAACTCCCGTCTCCTTGCCGAATTATTTTCAACCGTTATATAGCCTTAAAATTAATTTAAAGGGCAATGACAATAATTTAGAAGAATATTTACTTACTTATTTACCAAACGAAATTTGAGAAAAAACAAATTATGATGAAAAAAAAAGAGAATTGATTTCTCCAGACAAAGAGGAAATGGCAAGAATAAAAGAAATTGTTGAGAAAAGAAAATTAGAATTAGTGATTGAAGAAGAAAAACATTTTTGAAAACCTTTAATTCCTTGTCGACTAATAGCCAAAGAAGAGATTGATTATTATCACGAGTTAGAGAAACAATTAGCCAGCAGCAATTTTTATACCAATATTGAAAAGTAAATGGGACTATAGCGCAGTTGGTTAGCGCACACCGCCGATAACGGTGAGGCCGGTGGTTCGAATCCACCTAGTCCTACCATATAAAAAAGCAAATCTCTGTCTCATGAAAAAGAGTGTTAATAATTTACCTGACTTTTACGAAGAATTTCGAAAACAATTAGTCGCCAAAGGTTCCACACCAACGAATTACAAAAACTTCGTTAAAAAATTTGAATTTGGAGGAAGTGGCGAACAGATAACTTGAATAGACGAGCACGGGAAAAAGCATTGAAAAGAATTTAATCCATGAGTGGCAGTAATTTTAGAAAGAGAAGGGACAGAATTCGTTTTAAGTGCACAACTTTCTTATTGAGTAATCACTAATGAATACCGTCCTTGATTTGAGATAGAAAAGAAATTAGAAACAATATTTTCTGACTACTCTCGGGAAATATCTCTGACGAATACAGGACAATCCAATAAAAAAAACCAAATAATTTGGTGAATTGGGGGAGGGGTCGTTTTTATATTTTTTGGTTTGCTTCTTGTTTACTTGTTGAGAAAGAGAAAGAAGGTCAAACAAAGATAACTTAGCACCTGTTTTCTGAAAGGTATTTGAATAATTTCTTTAGACAAAATTAATAGTTAATGCTAAAAATTATTTACCTCTTATTAAAGAAATAATCATCTTTAGGATTTTTACTATTACCCAAATCACAACGATAAGAACAATTATGAAAATTAATAATTTTCATCAATAATCCTTAATATATTACAAAGAGCGAAATAATGTCAGTATAAAACACACTCCTATGAAATTATTTTAGGAATTATTTTCCTTAAAATTTTTCACCAGGTATTCAAAAAAATAGTTTTTGTGTCTGTTATGTTCTGGAGTTCCATCATGCCATTTAGTAGGATCATTGAAAGCCAAATAAACATGAGCAAATTCATGAGCGATAGTTAGAAGTAAAGTTCTTAAGTCTTCATTTCGATGAAACAAGTTAATGCAAACATATATTCAATTTATGACTATGCAACCTTCTTTCAACTCACAATCAACTTTAGTAAAACCACCACTTTCTGATCTGTATATTGGTCAGTAATGATCAGGTAGTTCCCTTAACTCTACTATTGAACTTTGTTCCTCAGTAAGAAATTCATCTTTTAGTTTCTGAAACTGTTCTTTAAGAATTCTTCTTCTTTCAATAAAAATAGCAATTGATCCATTTAAAAAGTTTCTACTATTTATTTTCTACCTCGTATAGTATCTGTTGAATGCTTCCGAGATAAAAAAACAATTTTTTGCGTTGTTCAAGGCTCAAAGTCACCACCTTTTTAGATTTTTTTTGAAGATCGAAAATAGTTTTTTTACATTTAGGACAAATGTATTTTAAGCATACTTGGTTATTGTCTTCCTCGCAAGTTTCTTCCAAAACCATTTCTTGACCACAACAACTATTACTTAACAACCATTTTTCTAATTTGTTGTTCTCTTCTGCAATTACTTCTTTTTTTTGATTATCGCTAGCGTTCATTAATTCTTTTTATAAGGATATAAAGAACTAACTTTTATTTTCTTTCCCTTTATCACTTTCCTCATCCCCTAAAAGTTTAATCAAATTTCAAACACCTAGTCCTAAAAAGACCAAGCCAAGAACAGCAACCCCAATATGCAAATAGCGAACCACTTGAACAACTTTTAGAATATTTTCAACATTTTGGGTGAAAAAAAGCCATACCAAGTTTGCTGAAAAAAATCATATCATTGGTATTACCACTAATGCCAGAACAAAATAGACAATTGTTTTAGTTAAATATTTTTTGTTCATAATTATTTGCTTTTGTTTTTACTTCTAGTTAGCAAGAAAATAATCCCTCCTACTATTATTGCTATTCCAATTACTATTAAAGCGATAATTCCTCCACTCAATCCTTTTCCTTTGTTAGGATCATCTTCGGTTAAATCACCATACCTAGTCTGATAATTATTTTCAGCGTTCCGCAGAGTGTTTCGCTGTAAGTTCCTTAAATAATCTGCTTGCTGTCTTTCTTGGGGAGTAAGATTTTGGTTATTTAGTCTTTGTTCCAATGATTTAGCATGCTCTCTTCAAAACAGAACTTCCCTTTTCAATCCCTCTTTTTCTCAATCGGTATTTTGCCCTGGATTAGTTTCCACATCCAGTTCAGGGGGCATCATTTCAACTTGAGTCAGTCTCTGTGCTTCTTCTCATTTTAGTTCTCGGTAAGTCACATGACATAAAGGAGAACAAAAAGCCAACTTTACTTCATAGTCTAGCATTCGGCCCTTTGCCATATCAGGGAATTCAGTCTTATGACATTGCGGACAAGTTCCTTGATTTTCTTGCTTATATTCTTCAATGCAACCACAATTTAAACCAAATCATTGGGAACTTTCTCTGGTAAAATCTACTTTATGCTTTATGTATCTTCTCCTTTTGATAGTGTAAGAAGTTTTGGTTTTATGAACTATACAAGAAGATCCGCATTTTTCACAGAGTTCATTAGGTTTTAAATGAGGGTCTTTGTTTGGTTCCTTATTGGGGATTTTGTTCGGATCTTTTTTTCCTGGATCAGGTTTGGGAATATCTCCGCCAGTAAGTTCATTTATTCTTCAATCATAAGCCTTAATTAAAACTTCCAAAGCTCGGAGTGCTTCCTCCTTTTCAAAATTAACACATAGAGTTTTTCCATCAGGAGCAATTTCCAGTTTTTCTTTATCAGTAAGTCCTAATGCTTGTTTTACTTGTTCACAATTTAATATATTCTATTATTTTATGTTGGTCTTTATCATCTATAATTTATTTTATAACTAATAAATTATCACCCAACTTTTTTTGTTATAGTAAAATTAATATATAGGACGTAGTCCTATAAACAAAACCATGGGAAACAAATCTAATAATTATGCCCCTAATTCTGTCTACAACCTATTGCTCTACAAATTAGATTACATGAATAGTTTAAGAGGGTCAGGCTGGACTATAAAGAAAATAGCAAATCGCTTTGAAGTAAGCGAACGAACTATTTATCGGAGAATTAAAAGCGATAGACAAAAAGCAGGAAGGAAACTTAAATTAGATGGTGAGGCATTGGAAACTTTTCTTGATTATGTTGATCGAGAACATAAACATACTCAACAAGAACTAGC